TTTTTCATTGTACTATCGCGCCGTTTCTGATTTCCAATGCGTTCCTATCGACCGGCCGAACTTCTTGAACTGATTCTTTTCCTTTCTGTTACGCCGGAACATATCGCGCCGTATGATTACCTGCGCTTAATAACGCCAATCCAGTCTATTCTTTTCCGTTAATTTTCTTTTATTACCGAACTGTATAATATTCGCAGCTATTTCTTACCGCCTTGCTACGCGACTAATAAACGGCATCATTATTATTTTCTAAATTGAAGCACGAATTCTTTCGCCCAGCCCGCACCATCCTACCGTCCGTTGCCTAGTTCGCCTTTAGTTCCGCCCTGCCCCTCTACCGTTAGGCAGAGCCGGCCGGCTCTCGCGCGATCGACCTTGGGAAGCAGCGTCCGTTCGTGAATTTCGGGTATCGTTGTGAGCAATTGCATTCCGTTTGTCGCGCTATTGCCGCAAATTCGCGTTTCGCGAGTGACGTGCCGCCGAGCACGTCTGGCGCCCAATTTTTGCGTCGCTGCTGCCTGTCGGTCGCCGGAGGGACACATCCTGGAGGGCTGTCATCCTCCCTCCCGAAATCTTACGCGATTTCCCTCTTATCGTTTCGATCCGTGCTCGCGCGAACTACTTATCTCACGGAAGCACGTAACAATATATATATTTAATGTTTATTAAAAGTAATCTTTTTTGTTTTAAAATATTTCGTTTTGTCCCCAAGATTGGAAAATAATTTGAAATAGTATTTAAAAAATGTATTTATTATTTTTATTTAATATATTATACTTATAATCTTAAATGCATAAAATATATTAACAACAAGAACATACAGATTGAAAAGAAAATACGTAATAAATTTACTAATAATAATACTTTACGTTTTGTTATTAGTAAATTTACGTATTTTTTTATTTTTATTTTTAGCTCTATTTTATATGGCTATTTGACGATTGATTTCGCGGGCCCGAATGTACAGCCGTGGTTATTTAGGTTGCGACACTTTTTTTCTTGATGGATTTCGGAATGCCCAAATATTACATGGATGTGAATCACTGCATCTAGTAAGCTAGAGTGAGGGTTAGAATATCTGTCATAAGAATTTATACAAGGTAGAAATATACATTTTGGAAAAACTGTGAATAAGTATCAAATATGTAATGCAATGTCTTAATAATAGATAATGGTTCTATTGTATAATTTATCTATAATTATAAATTATTATTAAATTAATTAATAAATTTATTATTATATTATAAATTATTATTAATTAATAATTATTATATGAACAAGTAAATAATTAAGAATTATTAATAAATTTATTTAATTGTAAACAGATGTTTTTATATTCTTTTTATTAATCATAATTATGTAGTAATATATAGTAATATTGATTTTAATATATTTTTCAAAAAAAATTTTGTACTAAAGAGATGTTATAAACATTACTCAGCCTATAAAAGCACACAGAGTCCAAAAGAATTCATTAGTATATTCAATTTTACGCCATCAATGCTGAGTTTATTTTCAGGTGCAAAATTAAAAATCCCTTTTAGTAAAAGAATTCTTTTTGCATCTGAAAATGAACTCAGAATTAGTGACATATAAGTCACTCATATTATATATTAAATGTAAAATATATTGTAAATGTAATATTAAATGTAAAATATATAATATTATATATTTTACATTTAATATTACATTTACAATATATTTTATACTTAATATATAATATGA